GTTCCGCGTTATAATGGAGCGCGTTCCACGTTATAATGGCGCGCGTTCCGCGTTATAACGGAGCGCGTTCCGCGTTATAACGGAGCGCGTTCTGCGTTATAACGGAGCGCGTTCCGCGTTGAAATGGCGCTCCTTCCGACTCATAACGGTACGTCTACTGCGTTGTGCGAAACGTGCTTCCCAAAAGGAAGAACCACGTTATAGCAAAAACACGTTGTGGTGCGAACACCACGCGTGAAGCGATCGTGTACGGCGTGGTTCTGTGTAATAGGCTCTTCAGTTGTAGCACTGTGTCAAAAACAACGTCACCGCAGCACAGTGCGTTGTCATATTTCAATTCCGAGCAGCTTTTGCAAAGATTGTAACGAGCGTAAGCTCTCTGTGGCAGCGATGTCTCGTAAAAGGTGGTGTATAAACGAAACGTAATCTCATTGAGGTTGAGATACAGACGTTGGAAAGGAGTTCAAAAAGAGATCACTCTTCAGTTCACGTTACTGAGAAATAGCAGGTTGGGCGATACGGTGTCATTTAACAGCAACGCGTTTCCAGTGCCACCTAAAAGTCGCGTCTTCAAGACAACAGAGGTGAGACTATTGCATTCGCTGGACATTTAATTACATTACCCCTGGAGGTGACAGCATTTACTTGTGCAGAGCAATGAATCGTAGCAGAAGGCTGGTAGTGATATGTGTAGAACACATAGGGGTTTATTTCGACAAGGGCAGGAGATGAACGTGTATTGACAAATGACCGTTGGAAGGTTGGTGATGGTGGTGGTGGTGGGGGGGGGATGAAGCGAAGGTGCCAGAGTGGTGAGATGAAGGGGACATAATTGAAGCACGTGGCCCGTACAGCAAGGATCGATTCACACTTGTGGGTGTTGCAGATCCCCCCCCCCCCCGTCAACGCCTGCATGAGGCCGCTTGTAATTAACGGCGAAACGTCACGCTACTTGAATTGTAAATGTTGCTTGTGGGTTTGCTCTCCAAACACACAAAAACGGGGTGCTAAACTAGTGACGAATTGGCTGTGTCGGGTGGTGGCGGGTTGAACGACACATTTATGTTTAAGAGATGTGACCCCCAAAACAATTCTCTATTATTGGTAATATTGGTCGTGACAGCCTATTACGTTTCGATTTAAAGCTTTCGTGACTGCAGGGATTCATCTTATTGGTTCTTTCGGTAAAGTCACGTAGAAGGGAAATAATAAAATAATAAAAATAAAACATAATAAAATAATTCTCACGACGTTTCGGCCACAACGCAAGCAGCCGTTGTGGCCGAAACGTCGTGAGAATTATTTATGTTTTATTTTAATTATTTTATTATTAGCCTATTACGTGTTAAATAGAAAAAAAAACCTGTACACTTGCAGTTTGTGGTTCCGAGGCTTTGGTATAAATTCCACATTACATTGCTAAGAACTCATACAACTTCTGTTGGCTTCCCACAAAGTTATACAAACTGTGATTCAGATGCAGGGACCTGCTTGTGGGTGTCTGTTTACAATAAATAGAAATAACTAAATTCACACATTAACGGACACTCATAACCTTCATGTCTATTGCCATTGCACTCCAACCTATCATCACACATTGACATTTTAACAATTTAAAGCTAGGTTAAACAATGTACGCTTGCTTACGAGTAAAACGTTTTTTTCTACATAGCTCATTATGTAAGTCCTCACCACAAATAAGGCTATTTAAATAGGGCCTCCGACGGGTTCTGGCACGATGCCAATTACATTTCCATTGCCATGAATCCACAGTGTAGCGTGACCCCCCCTACGCAACGCCTCTGTGCTCCAACACGCACCGGGCACGTAACCCACATTATGTCGCGACTGCTAATTGGCTTGAAAGGTCACACGCCCAGAAGAGCTAATCAGCACTCGTAAGCAGTGCTGCGTCTGGGCTGCATGTGGCACGCACGCCGACCAGGCAAGATGCACTGCCAACGCGGGGATTCACGGCGGAGATAGATAGCCCCCCCACCTCCTCCTCTGCCCCCACCTCTGTCCCTCCACCCCCCCCTCCGCCCCCACCGCTGAAACTCGCCCTTGCGGTTTGCAAACGAGGTGAGTAGAGCGGTTCCATTCACAATTGGGACCAGCACCCACCGGTTCACACGCGTATCCATGAACGAAGCAAGTTCATGCCCTGTCATTACCATCGCCGCCCGCCGTCGTTAATTGTAAAAAATAAAACTATTGCATCGAAAGGAATGTCTTGGTGGCAGTTTTGAAATGTGATGGGCCCCAAAATAACGGCATCTGCCTAAAGAGGACAATATATGGATATTTAAACCTCATGTTGTACACTTTGTCTTACCTGTACGATGAATGCCATCACTCATTTCAAAGGTGTGCATAGCCAAGGCTAAATATAATCTCGATTTATAAAGCGTTAATGTGTGACTCCATACAACTCTTGTGGTTAGCAAATGTTTTGTTTATATTTGACTCCAATAGATAGTGACAACATTCAAACTCGTTTGTATATAATTACACTTGAAGACAGATAATTTATAATTAACGATATTCTCAATGAATGACCATTTTTTACAGGTTTGAAAGGTAAAACGCATCAAGGACATTTCACCGAAACACTTTGCTGCAATCTTTACAGGGAATTATTGTTACTTGTGGAATATAACCAAATTCATTAAAAAAATCCCACCTAAATTATCCCCAAGCTTTTTAATCGTCCTAACTTTAAAGGACTTGGATTTATACACTTACATGTCAAGGAATTTTGGATGAACGTCGATGCCTTGAAAGTACGTATTACTACCCTAAAACCAGGCATTAGTGCTGTTCCAGAAATATGGCTTCCACGTTCCATTACAGATGCTAATGTATCATTGAGCGGGTTTAATTTATTCTGCCTTGATTATCCAAGAAGCGGAAGGGGAGTGTTAACTTTATATGTTTCATCAATTGAACAATTGTTTTATCTTGAAACCAAAACGATTGAATTCTTATGATGAATGTGCAAATTATCACCTGAATCCCGTTTTCATCTCGCCGTTACTGCCAGCCTTCTACATATGACTTTGCAGGTTCATTGGTCGGTAATATTCCAGCTCCCTGCATACTCTCAATTGATTGCTGTCAGAGACATGGGAATGGAATTGGCTTTAGTATCCAATGTCCGATGCATTAATTCTGACAAACTTGTTACCATCGACCAAATCGATAACAGAATCCCCCTTGATCAATGTAAAAAAAATATTTGTTCTACCCAGTGCTTGGGCCTCTTCTTGTAAAATGTCAACTGTGGGTATTTTGGTAAACAATTTGAATGATGACTATTTAGTGGCCTATATTCCAGTCAGTACACACTTGAGCACTCATTTTAAAATAATGAGGCTCGATGAAATTGTTTGAACATATCATTGTACGTTCAAATATGCAGATACATGGAAAATCTGCTTGTTTCCAATCTGCTGGCAAAGCAACTCCAAAATGCCAAGCAATTGGTTTTCAGATTTGAGAATATTGCTGTAACAGCCATTTCCATCGTTTGAATATTTCGCTAAGGTGTGCTCAGCTGTCTTCATCGCTCTCTGACAAGTCTTCGGTGAGGTTTATAATCTTAACCTCTAGATTACATAGCGAGCGGCGTGAGTATTAAGGAAGTGGACCGGTTTGCAAAATTATCGACAGGGAAGAATATTATCTTCAGAATGCAGTGATTTCTTCAGATTTCTTTTTTTTTTCGTTTCTAAAGGAGTATGCCTAAGCCCAATACTTGGGTCAACCACCCGTCCTCTTTTGTACATAAATAACACGGGCTCACATTTAATTACAGACATTCTAAAAAAACATGTTTGTGCTATCTTAAATACGGTGCAATATTTGCAACTTATCTGAATAAAATTCAAACATAATTTCCACTGGATTTTAGCAACATTCAAATGCACATCTTGTATTTAAGACTTGGAGTAAATGTGGATGCGAGTGTACTCTAATGAATGCACACGTTTTGCCTGTTTGAGGACATTCATTGAAAGTAATAAATCAGCGTTATATATTTTATATATATCTTATGTATAATCACATTTTTTTACACAATTTCCCGGAAATTTGCTCCGCGAGACACACTGTTTTTGGTTCTAAACATGTTTTGCCCACACAGCGTTTGGGAGAACCACAGCATGCCAGATGGACGCTTGAAAATGAGAGCTATATGGATGTTTTTAGTATATCTTTATTTATGAATGTAACCCACTCTTAAATTGCTATACCCTAGAAATGTGTGTAAAATGTAAAAAAAGATACAGTATTTGATTTTGTTTGTATTCGCTTTTATTTGTAATTCTGTTTTCCAATATTACATTTTGTAATTGCATTTAGATATTTTTTTGTGCTTTGGCCTATTTATTTTGTTGATTCTATAGTTTGGTTAAATGTTATTTTTTATTTGTTTTACATTGAACTTGGATTGTTTTATTGTGAGACTATCTACATTTATCTTTCAGCATATTTCCAACACGGTACGCGGGGTAAGTGTGTTTACCATTCTAGCTATGCATCACAGGAAGGAGTGCATATCTTATTTTAATTCAATACAATGGTTGTATGCTGTGCTATGATACAATTGCAGTGATGCAATGGTGGCAGTGGTTGGTGCGTTGTGCTGTAACCCAGTGGCCTGGCTTGAAATATCGTGGAGAGGCCTTCATCCAGCAGTGGATTGACAAAGATCTGCAACATCATTTATTATAATTTTTTATAATCTGATTAGGGTTAAGCTAAATTAATTGGAATGTTTATGTTATTTTAACTTATATTTTTTTTAATAGAGACGGTAATTCAACATTCGCCTAATCAACGATTTTAATGCAATGCGATTCACGTTATCTCAGGAACTATACGAGTGTCAGCAAAAAAATGGTTTCTGGGAAATGTCAAAGGATTCACAGCAGTTCAAAAAGAATGCCATTCTCTTTATTTGATAACCAGAAATAGGCATGAGCAAAGATTGACGCGCGTGGTTTCCAAAATGCCCCAGACATCACAGACACCCATTATCAAAAGACAGGTAGATTTTTTTCTAGAGAAATGAAAACAGCCCGAGATTCATGCTGCCAATGGCTTTTTGTTGTTGTTGTCAGAATTACAATGCAGTCAACCGGAATAACTTAAGTAAGTGTGCCTGGTTTATCAAGCGATACACAATAAAAAAAAAAAGCATTTACACAACAGAACGTCAACAAAATGTTGCATAGAATTTTCCAGCCGCATATTTAAAAACAATTTTACAAAAAGGAACCAAACATGAATCATGTTCACCAATATTATGAACATCATTAGCGTACTAATATAATACAAAAAATCCCTCACAATTTTGGCCAAACTCTTCGAAAGAATTGGTTTCAATCAAAGCAGACCGTTCAGCACTCTAAAAAGCACTATGAAAATCAAGTACAGTTTCCCAATTTGGAACTCTTCCACCAGAGTCATGCTTCCCCCACCCCCTCCATCCACTGGGCTCACAACAGAGGTCGCAACCGGGTACCCGATACCCGTACCCTACCCGATACCCGGCTACCCGTACCCGGCCGGGTACGGGTACGGGTAGGCCGTGAGTCACTGGTGAGTAACCGTTTGTCACTCATTTCGGGTAGGGAACGGGTACCCGTACCCGGCCAGGTACGGGTACGGGTACCCATTTGCGACCCTGGTGCGGCCGGGTACGGGTACGGGTAAGGAATCAAAACCCGTTTGCGACCTCTGGCTCACAATTCACTGCGCTGACTTCACAATGTCAGCAAACCCGACGGAGTGTGGGGGACACTCGGGGAAAGGTGGCGCAGCGTCATTTGCATACGCTTACTCGACGTTTCGGGCCCTCCGCCGAATCGCCGCACGCAAAATCTGCCGGAAAATGTTCGGCGGTCGCGTAAGCTCGGCTCGGCTCGGCTGGGCAGGAGTGAAACTTTGCGAGGATGGTCACAAATTTTCAGAGTGCCCAAGAAGAAGGCGCCCCCCCTCCCCCCCCCCCCCGCTGCTTGATGTCATTCCGTGTTTATGTGCCCATGGAAACAGCCTCTTAGCGACGTAAGCGTCTCTAAGCTGTGCACACAGATGTTTGGTAAAGCCAGGCTCGCATGGTTGCCTCCGTCTATGGTTAGGGTTAAATCAAAGGATTTCACACGACATCCAGCGGATTTCCTCAACTTCTTTTCGTCAAATTTTCCCTCCCTCCTCCTCCTCCTCGCACCTCCTCCCCTCAATCCGAACAACTCCCAAGCTGAAATTAGGCTCGTGGTAGATATACGGTCCAGCGAAGCTTAAAAAATGTGTCAGGTATCGTGTTTGTCGCATGCTGCATTTGTGTTTTACGACTAAGTATTTTTTTGTTTGTTATATATATGGGGCGATTGTGCATTGTAAGTTGTCTTTGGTGTTTATCGTCGTAGTCTGCTGTGCAATGCACTTGGTGGATTTTCTTAGTGGAGCGTCGGGCCAAGAGCTTCGCTCGTGCCTGTACGTATTCGCTGCGTGTTTGCGTGCTGTGTGACCGGGTTATTAATTCATCGATGGGCATTCTTTATACGAGAGCACTTCTGGTGCCATGTGGTGACCAAACTGATGCTTTGGAGCTCCTGTTTTTTTTTTTAACAAATTTTTTAAGAGTATAGCGTTGCTCCGATGCCAGCCAATTCATGTACACATTTGAATGATTTACCTTCCTCCGAGTTATCTAAGTAATGCGGTGTCTTGTTTGTCTGTCAAACTTACCACAATGGTGAGCGCTTAATCACAACCAGATTCCGTCGCTAAAACGATGAGCTATTTTTTTAAATGCAGTGCTGTTTCCCCACCCTTTTTTTGGCTTACTGTACATTTGGTTTTAAAAAATAGAGAATGCGTTATCAAGAACAGCATATATATATATTACTGAGCACTATCATACGTGAATTCAGAGATAATTCCTCATTGTACAACAACAACAAAACAATTACGTGGTTTATAACACCAACAATATGGCTCTCAATTATAACCTGATAGTACTTTGTAAGTTACTCCAGTACACAATAATTTAAGTAGCAACAACACAAATTACCTCCCCTCCCTCCAAAAAAATATTATTAATTCGCAACAAAAAAACCAGCAAAGCATACACAGCACGGAAAAATGCCCTCTTGTCATGTCCTTTACAAAAATGTACCCAAGCATCAAAGGCAAACACCTTGAGGGTGTCTTTGACATCCATTGTAAGTGCATATTGATAGTGTTGTTGGTTGGTAACAGTCCGCATAATGATCGAGTCTGCAACATGGCTAATATGGTGTCAAATCAATGGTGTAAGGGCACAGAGACAACAGGCGTTGTTATTGCACCCCCTCATTAAATGTCAACGTGTGACGGTTAATCCGACGGATGGCGTGTACACGCAATGCATGACATTTAAGGCACCACTCTGGGATGTAACCAGGAGGAGATAATTTCGTTTCGTCTGGAAAGCCAGACAAGAGGATGTTAAAAACCCAATTATACCACGCATTTCGCGGACACGTTACGGGTGTGCCATTGGGACAGATAACGTGACAATGGAAAAAAAGATTCCCCCTGATGAAACAAGATTATTTCACAGTTTCTATGAATGGCTCTGTGTTTTTTGAAAGCTTTCCTTACTCACGATCTACTTTGAAAACATAACAGAGTATCGACGCTGCCCTAAACTTGCCAACATTGCACCGGCAAGGAAGCGTGAAATACGGAACACATAAAACCCGAGACCTTTCCCTTTAATGCGTTTCCGTTCTATTTGCTTTCTGTCCGCTTGAAGCAAAGGTGCAATCCATGGATTTTATCGTTGTGGTTTGTGCCTCCCATTCTCCGTCTTCCAACATTGCATTTGCGAGCGCAATGGAAGGGCCAGCAGCCACCCAGCTCTTTAACGGGGGCTGCTGCCTGTGCAGCGCTGCACATTTTTAATCAAAGCCACAGACATTTGTCTGGACTCTGTTCATTTTCCAAGGTGTCAAATGTTTTCAAATTGATTCACTAAAAAATTACTACCACGAGTGAAGCATGTGGCCTTTCTTCAGGTGACTGCATAAGAATAAGACATTGAAAGTATTAAAGTGTCCTTATTTATTTTTCTCTTATCTCCCCCCCCCCCCATTTTAGGTCATGCTAGTGAAGCAGGGATATTGTTGAAGGGTGCAACAGATATCCTTGCGAGACGAAAGATAATGAAAAACGGAGGGCAGTTCTTAGAAATGTATTGAGTGCGCCGAAGCGCACAACTTTCTCATCGTCCCTGGGACGATTATTTTCCAACTTCAATAAAATCGTTTGTTTCCGATTTCGGAGCCCACACATCAATGGGCAAAACAGTTTTATAGCGCAGCCTAAAAGACTGTTTAAAACTCATACTTGATATAAATTCAACACTCATTTCACAATAATGCGCACAGTGCATGGATCAACTAGAAGCAAGTCATCACACTTGGTGTCTGTTTTACCAAATGCCCACTTGGAAAATAGGACCTTCCGATCTGCGTTTCGTTTAATCACCGAGGAGAACCAATGTGTTCTTGCTGGGAGTCGGTAGCGCTGTGGTGGCGAGCTGTGGCGGTCATCGTTGGCATCGGAGTGCAAAGTCTGAGGAGTCCGAGGGAGGTGGATGCGAGACTCAGATATGCCTCTTCATGTGCAGAGCCAGGTGGTCAGACCTTGAGAAGCTCCTGCAAATAGCCGCACACAACATCAAGAATCAGGTGGCGTGAAAAACAGAGGGATTACAGAGCATGCGTCAGTGTTGACGCCAGGTATCCAGTTGTTACTTCAGTGATCCTGTACGTAACATCACAGGTTAATTCCGTATGTATGTATGTTGAACTTCTTTCGCACCGTATGTAGCCGACCGTGGTAATCGGAGGTGTGCGGGCAAGGTATGGGTATGTATGGACATTAGTCGTAGCCTTGCAAGGTTAATGTGCATTAATGGTTAAGTTAGTTACGTCTATTTTGTTTAATCAGGTGGGACCTCAAGAGACCAGGATAGTTTAATTCACAAGAGTAACTTGGGGCACTCGTCTGCCAGTAGGAGGACATTATTGGTTGTACATAATCCCAAGTGAGTCATTTTGCTAATTTGGCAAATAGTCTGCATGCGTCATAGACGTGCATTAAGTCATCTACTGTTATATATGCACGCAGTTTTGATGACCTGTGCGTACACAAGTGTCATACTTTCTTCATTTCTCAATTGGAATATACACAGCAATCATTCCCGCCCTACTGCAAACAACTTTGTAGGACCCTTCTCAGAATACTAATGAAACTCGCTGAGGCTTAGCTGGGCAAACAAGTCTAACAACAAACATTTACACGGTGGAGAATCGCGCAGTGAAATTAACAGTTGGCTTTCTACACATAGGCATATTTACAATACCTCCCTACCACCATCATCACGTACCCTTGCCCACACATTGCAGCAGAAGCTCCCAGACCGGCCTTTTCAGCCATTTGAAGATTCACAAACAGGAGCCACCGAGAGGAACAATCAATACTCGACCCTGAGTGATCGTCGATGATTATGATGATGACATACCTACACGTATATTGTGCGGTCCACATTAAAAAAATCTACACGCATTCAACTGTTCACACTCAAATTTTGATTTAAAGCTTTCGTGACTGCAGGGATTCATATTCTTGGTTCTTTCGGTAAAGTCACGTAGAAGGGAAACAATAGAATATTTTTTATTATTTTTTATTATTTTATTGTTTCCCTTCTACGTGACTTTACCGAAAAAACCAAGAATATGTTCACACTCAGTGAATTGTATTCCAAAAAAAAGGATTCTCAACCGCCCTGACCAAACCCCATTCATCTGTTCCGGTTTCAGTAAAACTCCTCTTTGCCGATTTCCTGTTGTCCACACACCTCCTATTATGTGCATAGCTTGTACGATCCGCACACATTCCTATCTTGTGCGGTACATTCTACCGAAGGAGGATTTCTCCACAATTCTGGCTGTCGCCTGATGACGTTGGTTCTAAATACTGGCGAAACGTCGAACTCGAATTGTAAACGTTGCGGGTTTACTCTCCAACACACGAGTGACGAATTGGCATGTTTTGTTTACGTGACAAACCTCACTAAATGTCTGTGTCAGGTGGTGGTGGGTTTAACGACACATTTATAGTTACGTAATTTAACCCAAAAAAAGCTATTGATAATATTAGCCGTGAAAGCCTACTTGTTCAACTGAAAATGTTCCTGTAATAAGTCACTCAGAAGTGTCAGCAAAAACCTTCATGGAAGTTGATAATTCTTCCTAATATCCAAGCCATCATGCAGATAAGAGAAGTAACCGGATAATGGTGGCCAATTCATCCGAAAATCTGTGTTTATTCACTCATTCCATCCCAGTTAAGTGTAAAATCTGCAGGTAAGCACACAATTACCCCCCACATCAAGCAAGAAGTATACAATGGCATTTCTCTACACTACAATCTTTACACATATATAGTATCTATGTGCCTATATAACATTTCAATTTTTATGGAAGGTAATGTTTTTTATAGGGAATGACATTAAAGTGCTCGTTATTGCGATATGAGAAATTGCTCATTTTTTTGTAGCGTTAAACGATCAAAAGACATTGCTTCTAAAATAAAAAGGGAAAAGCCAATGTAATGTTTGCCACGATCATCAGGCGCATGATGACCTTTATTTATCGTGCGCTGCGAAGTTGAACGCAAAGATGCCATTGAGCCTGGCCCATAGTGAACAAGTGCATTCGCCTTATGGATACACGGCACACAGTCTACGGGGAGACATGGGGAGACACGAGGAGACATGGGGAGACGCGAGGAGATGCGGGGAGACACGGGGAGATGTGGGGAGACACGAGGAGACATGGGGAGACGCGAGGAGATGCGGGGAGACACGGGGAGATGTGGGGAGACACGGGGAGATGTGGGGAGACGCGGGGAGACGTGGGGAGACACGAGGAGACATGGGGAGACGCGAGGAGATGCGGGGAGACACGGGGAGATGTGGGGAGACACGGGGAGACGTGGGGAGACGCGGGGAGACGTGGGGAGACACGGGGAGATATGGGGAGACACGGGGAGATATGGGGAGACACGGGGAGACACGGGGAGATATGGGGAGACACGGGGAGACACGGGGAGATGTGGGGAGACACGGGGAGACGTGGGGAGACGCGGGGAGACGTGGGGAGACACGGGGAGACGTGGGGAGACACGGGGAGATATGGGGAGACACGGGGAGATGTGGGGAGACACGGGGAGACGTGGGGAGACACGGGGAGATATGGGGAGACACGGGGAGATGTGGGGAGACACGGGGAGACGTGGGGAGACGCGGGGAGACGTGGGGAGACGCGAGGAGATGCGGGGAGACACGGGGATGTGGGGAGACACGGGGAGACGTGGGGAGACGCGAGGAGATGCGGGGAGACACGGGGAGATGTGGGGAGACACGGGGAGATGTGGGGAGACGCGGGAGACGTGGGAGACACGAGGAGACATGGGGAGACGCGAGGAGATGCGGGGAGACACGGGGAGATGTGGGGAGACACGGGGAGACGTGGGGAGACGCGAGGAGATGCGGGGAGACACGGGGAGATGTGGGGAGACACGGGGAGATGTGGGGAGACGCGGGGAGACGTGGGGAGACACGAGGAGACATGGGGAGACGCGGAGATGCGGGAGACACGGGGAGATGTGGGGAGACACGGGGAGACGTGGGGAGACGCGGGGAGACGTGGGGAGACACGGGGAGATATGGGGAGACACGGGGAGATATGGGGAGACACGGGGAGACACGGGGAGACATGGGGGACACGGGGAGACACGGGGAGAGTTGGGGAGACACGGGGAGACGTGGGGAGACGCGGGGAGACGTGGGGAGACACGGGGAGACGTGGGGAGACACGGGGAGATATGGGGAGACACGGGGAGATGTGGGGAGACACGGGGAGACGTGGGGAGACACGGGGAGATATGGGGAGACACGGGGAGATGTGGGGAGACACGGGGAGACGTGGGGAGACGCGGGGAGACGTGGGGAGACACGGGGAGACGTGGGGAGACACGGGGAGATATGGGGAGACACGGGGAGATGTGGGGAGACACGGGGAGACGTGGGGAGACACGGGGAGATATGGGGAGACACGGGGAGATGTGGGGAGACACGGGGAGACACGGGGAGACGTGGGGAGACACGGGGAGATATGGGGAGACACGGGGAGACACGGGAAGACGTGGGGAGACACGGGGAGATATGGGGAGACACAGGGAGACACGGGGAGATATGGGGAGACACAGGGAGACACGGGGAGATGTGGGGAGACACGGGGAGATGTGGGGAGACACGGGGAGACGTGGGGAGACACGGGGAGATATGGGGAGACACGGGGAGACACGGGGAGATGTGGGGAGACACGGGGAGACGTGGGGAGACACGGGGAGATATGGGGAGACACGGGGAGACACGGGGAGATATGGGGAGACACGGGGAGACACGGGGAGACGTGGGGAGACACGGGGAGATATGGGGAGACACGGGGAGATATGGGGAGACACAGGGATACACGGGGAGATATGGGGAGACACAGGGAGACACGGGGAGATATGGGGAGACACAGGGAGACGGGGAGATGTGGGGAGATGTGGGGAGACACGGCGAATACGTCGTCACTTTATTATGAACACCGCTACCTGATTTGCCATTGCCTCAACCCCACACACACTTACGTCGCTGACAGCATCGTCGTCCGTCATTTCTCGTTATCCGTCGCCTTTTCTCAGCCTTCGCCTCTGCCTACGACGCTGTAAGTCGCTTTGATTGACGTCGTTTCGATATTCGTCATCGCACCTTTCAAGAACGTATCTCCGATGTAAGCTGGGGTATTACTGTATTTATATATACACACATTATGCTTTTGTATTTCCTCGCTTTTTCTATTTCCTACGCCATTTTGAAAGTCCTCGCTCTAAGATTCTGTAATGCCGTCTGGAATTCCCTTCCTCCCGACTTTCTTGCAGCTAAACTAAAACGAATAATACATCTTGACTTAAAGCTTGCGTGACTGCAGGAATTCATGCTCTTTGGGTCTTAAGGTAAAGTCACGTATATAGAAAATAAGAAAACAATCACGACGTTTCGATCGCAACACAAGCAATCGTCTTCAGGTGAAAAAATAATGTATTTTTATTTTACCAGCTTAGGCCCACTGAGATATGAAGTTCTTTTTCAGAAGTTACCTGGCCACAAATCATAACTCAACGAAGTGGCTTATCATGTGGAAATGTATAGCAGCCAAATACTCTAAACGCATGTTTCTAAATGTGGAGGTAAAACCCGGAGGACCCGGAGAAAAATCCATGTGACCACGGAGAGAGAGACACGCAAACTCCAAATATACAGGCGTCGTTGGGGTCGGGATCGAACCCTAAACCTTCTGCATACCACGCGAGGTAGTTAACATCTCACCACCACGGCGCCGCAGCTGAGACTTTCCTTGCTGGCCTTGTTCAAGTCAAGACTTAAGATCCCATTCGTTTTCATGTGCATAGGGCTAAATATCTTTGCCCCTATGAAGCATCTGCGGTTGCATTTAGACGCTATATAAATGTAAATTGTATTGTATATTGGCTCGTAATTGACGCATTTATAAAGCCTACTGTATTTTGACGCTATGTAAAG